AGACCTATCTGCATTTCCTTTCATTAGCCCCGCCTAGACTGATTGGATACTACTCAGTGGAGATTCTACCTTCCTTCATGCCCTCTGGATCTAGGTTCCCTCTTGAAAGATTGTAAGCCAATCACTTCTTGCCTTTGTAGCCAATGTCCAAGTTGCCCATCCCTTTCTACTATTTGTATGGAGGGGGTGGGAATGATCCTTGCTGTAAAGATTTATTCCCTCTTTTGAGCTACTGCATTCACAGGGGTAGGTCAAGTTCATCAAATTGTATCAGCTTACTTTTTTTTTTTTCCATTCCTTTCTTCTTCTAGTTGAGCTCTGATCATCTAGTCATTGAAGCCAGGTCAAGTGGGTATTATCTGCAAGTGTGGGTGTTCTTGTGCATATGCCCTCTCATCTTATCAACTGGATGCTTCACTCTCCATTCTAGTCCCCTGTGGCTATGTCATTGACTCTGGGCCCAAGGGTCCCCACGTCTTGCCACACTGCTGGCCAGCCAGGTCTCCACCCAGGTTCACAGGAGTCTATTGAACGTTATAGGGCTTAGCTCACAGCTTCATTGCTGTTTTTCCCTCACTTCCCCTTATCAGTGACAAACGTGGTTACCAATCAGAGCGTGTATTACCATTGAGTCTTAGTCTTGGAAGGGGGTTTGCCCTGAGGGGACCCAACCACTTGTCTTGATGTCTCCTGGGCGAGCAACTTGCTTGTTCTTGTAATAATCAGTTGGTCTGCCTATATTGTTTTGTATTTTTCCTGTTGGTCTTTCTTTCAAGAAGTATCTTCTGATCTTCTAGCCATTCCAGGCTGGTCTGCCTATCCTTTCAAGTGAAAATTTCCCACCTCTGAAGGTTCTGGATGCTCTTCAGCAATCTACCTATGGTCTTATGTAATGCAGAGATTCCACAGGAATTCTCCATCACTGGGCACATTGTAGCCCCATTTTAGGTATTCCAATCAGTTATAGGCAGAAGACGGACTTACAAGCTTTTTATGGTTATATTTCTGGCTATTCCTTTCTTTCTCCCTCCAGTATCTATTTTATAATGGTATGCAAGGGAAACCAAGATTCAAAAGACAGCCAAGCATTTTAACATTATTTACCCCCTTTTCCCCATTCCAACCATGTCTTCATCCCTGTATCCCAGAGCCCTGTTGTTCCAAGGTTGTGCATATATCATTCTTTACCTCTGTCCCAAGGAGCTCTGGTAGCGCAATGTTTACGAATCGGGCTGCTAATCTCAAGGTCAGCAGTTCGAAACTACCAGCAGTTCTGCAGGAGAAAGATGAGGCTTCCTGCTCCCATAAAGATTTACAGCCTCAGAAATCCTGTACCAGGGTCACTATGAGTCGGAATCAACTTGACAGCACTTAACAACAACAACCACCTCTGTCCCATTTAGCCCATGCAAACCTGTGTCTTTTTTTTCTCCTCTGCTTTTTTTTTTTCTTTTCCTCTCCCTTTTTTTGTATATTGTCCCCCTTCCCAGCATCCAAACTATCCTGTGTCTATTCTCTGTCCTGTGCTACACCTTCCTTTCCCTCCCCTCACCCCACCCCCCACATCCCAGCAAATGGCAGGCATTTTTATGAAGACCTATTTTAAAGCTATAAAATACAAGGGGCTTCAAAAAGGGAGAAAAAGAGACCCCAAGTCCTGGTGTGGTGTGCAGGATAATGTACTGGACTACACGGTTGGCTTGAACCGCCAGGTCATCAGTTCAAACCCACCAACTGCTCCTCTGAAACCCTATACAGGGTCACTTTGAGTAGGAACAGACTCCATGGCACATAACCACCACCAGCACCACCACCATATCAGGCCCTGTGCTTTGCTCTAGGGACACAGGGTGACTTAGAACTTCTGCTCTTGAGAAGGTCTACTGAGAAAGCTATTCCCAACTCAACAGGTGTCATATTAGGAACTTGTACCAGGCACTACTACGTGAAGAAAATACTGAGGAATGAATGAATGACAGCTTGGTAGTATTGGAAAATGTTTATGACAGAATGAAAGCTAGGCTGTAACACTGATATGCATACTATAGTTACAGCTATGTGCTTTTCACCATTAGATATTTTACAGCAATTTATTTTGCAGTGAAGTAAGATTTTTCCATGTCTACCGTAAAGAATATTTTAACTTATAATGATGTGTGGGTTTTTTGTTTTTTGTTTTTTTCTTTTAGGCATTTTTTACACTTGCACGAGATATAATGACAAAACTCAACAGAAAAATGGTTCGTATCATATAGAGTGTTTTATTTTCATTACGATCGTATTTGGTATTTGATAAAAAGGCTAGGCCTGCTTATAGTATCATCAAATTACTCATTGTTGCCCCCTGACTGACCTAGTCCTAGCTGGTTGGACTTTGGTTCTTATTACTGACAGCTGTGTCAGCTCTTTCATCTGTCTTTTTAGATGCTTTTGAATTGAATTTTGATCCTAATAATTAATAGTCACAAATTAAATTTTTGCCATGAAATGATTTCATTTTCATGTGATATAGACATTTTATCTCTATGGAATGAAGATCTTAAAATTGCTAATGTTAGCTTAAATTTGAAAATGTCTCAGTAATAAACCACTAAAGCAACCTTGGAAGTTCGCTTTACCCTAAATCCTGAATATAAGGTATGCCTTACGTTACCAACTCTTCTTACCTCTAACAGCAGGATTGTTTACACCAGCATCTGAGCATTGTTTCCATCATCCACCTTGAAACTCTACACTGTATTTGTTTTCATTTCTTTGGACTAGAAATGGGAGCTTCCTATCTAATATATTATTAATATATAACATGTTTTCCTAAAATCCATTCGTTTACAAAGAAAAAGACACAGCATGAATGCTTACCTAGTTCCCTTTCTAATAAAATAGTCTAGTGACTACTTTGCTTAGGGTCTGTTTTGGTATATTTTTAGTACGTGATGTTAAACCTGAACCTTTTCTTTCCTTTTTTGGTAACTTTCCAACTCTATTGTTCAGAATGACAGCAATTCATCAGGAGGAGGTGGGCCAGTGAAAATAACAGAGAACCGATCAAAGAAGACAAGTTTCTTCCGCTGTTCGTTGCTTTGATGAACTCTTTCTGAGAGACTGCAGCACACCTAGAGGAACCTTTCCTGCTTCTCTGAAAGCACAGGTCCCCAGCCTCAGAATCACACCGCCCGGCTGCTGCGGAGAGCACCTTTGAACCTAGACATCCCAACACACAATGCCAAGTGGACTCAGCCTCAGGGCCTAGCAAAATCACAGGCTCCTGTTTTCAAACATGGAAGCAATGAAGTGGAGACGTGTGCAGGACTGAACCTTGTTTTCCCTTTGTTTTACTGCCCGTTGCAGAAGCTGCTGTCTTTGTTTTCACTTGTACACCAGTGTTCAACTTTCCCTGCTACTGCACAAGCTTAGACTCACACGTCTGTGCAGTTTTGGCTCATGAAATTCTAGACAGATTTGTGTGTTTGGGAATTTTGTTTTAAAGACTACAACATTTAAAGCAGGGTTAATATACTGAAATTAAAGAACATTTGGTCCAGTTCTTACAGCCAAATGTTACAGCTTTGGTAGCATTTATTTAAGGGCTCTGGTTCGTGACTCTCTTAAATAAGAACCATTGATCCCAGATAAAATATTTGTTAAATTTCCTAAAAATGCCCATGTATTCACCAGAGGCCACACTTCTTTATTTCTTCACAGTGCATAGAGCTTTGCTTCCTCCCAGACCTCTTTGCTATAAAGTGTGTAGCTAAAAGAATCCCTTTTTAAATTGATTAGCACTGCATTTGGAAGTCTCCTTCATCTCACTTTTTCTGTATATACTGTTCTCTTCTGTGTTTGTAATTACTCAGTTGTCTAAAACATAACAAATTGGGACATTGTTGTCTGTTTCTAATTGTGAATTTCTGTAGGTGAAATTTCCCATAGGCAGAGAGATGTACCATTTAAGGTTTTATTTCAGCATCTGTTTGTAGTTCTGTCACATTAGGATACTAATTTTTATTTCCCCCCTGAGATTCAACCTTAGCTTGCTGATTTTAGTAATACCACTTAATTCCTGTCTGAAGAGTTAACAAAATTTAGATTTTAGTTTGCAGAAAGCTTATTTGTATTTGTAGAGAGAGATTAAATTTTTGACATAATTTAATAGAAATAGCTCTTGGTGGTGATGAGAATAATTTTTTACTTTGGTGGGGGATTATTTTTAAAGAATAAAAATAATTGACTTAGTGCAACTTCTAGGAAACGTCTTACATTTAGAAAAACTATTAGCAAGATTTTTAGGTTCGTTTTATAGAACTTGGTCCAGTCATTTAGGCCAAAGCCAACCAAAAGCTTAGCTGCCTTTCTCACTGACCTATGGTACTAGTATACATTTTGTATATGAAACCGTCATATAATTTTTAAAGGTATTTAGTGTGAATCTATGTGCCAAAACTCAAGTTATATTATGTCATTGCTGTTGTTGTAGCCTTCGTTGTCACAACATAGAAGGTGATATTAAAGAAGTGAATAGGGAAATGATTTGTTAATAATTGGTTTTCCTGATAAACTGATTTTGTGTCACAAAGGGTACCATCTTGCTTAACAGTTAAGAATGGTGAATGGAAGTGGAAATGCCTTGCTTTGTTACCGTAGAAGACTGCTTCATAAAGCAGATAAGATGTGTAGTTCGAATGCTTGGACCACCCTTTCCTATTTGTTTGAAAATATTTGCACAATTGAGTGGCAGCAAGTATACTGGATAAGCTTTTGATGGATACAATATACTAAACTTACTGTTGACAAGTTTTAGCCTCCCTGATTTTTTTTTTTTTTTGGTGATTAACCTAGATAGGCTGTTTTTAAGTAAGTAGAACATTTGAAGCAGAGGCAAATAGACTATCCCAATAGAATCAATAGCTCCCTAATTAAAAGTTGACTTAAAGTCTACTGTAGATACATTTTAGAAAGGAAAAATAATTTCTTAAGAATATCCTTTACTCACTAATTTTCTGAAAATTATCCAAGCATTTAAGCTTTCTGAATGGTAACAAAGTACTTTCTAAAAGGCAAGTGTCATGACACCATGTATGAATGTACTTCTCTTAGTAATTTACCTCTGACTATTTGGTGTCTTAACACTTTGGTTTATATCTCAGGGGTTGTCTGCAAACCAAAACTGACATATTCTGTGGTTAACTTTAAAAAACAAAATGGAGTGCTTTGCTTTTGTTGTACTTCTTCTCCTCTGTTGTCTTACATGGGTTAATAACTAGTCTCCATGAACTTCCCTTTGAAAGAGCCTATAAAGGTTGAGTCTAAAAGTGTTCTTTGAAGTAGCAGCAAATTGGGGGTATATGCTCTGTTATATAGAAATAAAATGTCCTTGCTATTTTCTTACATTTAGCTTTGCTAAATTGTATATAATTTGAGCTAAGACCATAGGAAATTCACTTTCTGCATGGTAAAATGACCCAATAAATATTCCACTTTGCTTAATAATGTACATATAGTGCATTATTTTTTCTATTTGTAGATGAATTTTAGTGACAGATAATTTGTCTGTTCCCTGCTGAAACTGAAGAATTCTAGTTTTGTGTGAACATTTTTGAGGTCTATGGATAAGGGACATGAAGACTTTTGCAGCAGTATTAGTGAGTGGCCCAGTGGCTGCACTTTATTATCAGTGTGCTTAACTTTTGACAGTGATGGGACTAGACCTTTTCAAATAGAGTCTGAGAGTATCAGACAATGAAAGTGTGCTCTAACTAAGTAGCATGTTAATCAGTTGATTGTAAAATGTTTCGCTGGGAACTTATTTTAGCTCTATTTTACTTCAGGCAGATTATGAGAAAAGAATCCACCTGCGCATCACTTAGTAGGTGCTGCAGAGCTTCGTACTATTTACCAGAACATTTTGTGCAGTCTTTGTTGTCGATTTTCAGAAACCTATATAGTCGTTACTTTGAAGGACTATTTTTTAATTATACCTCATTTAGCTAACGAGTCTTCTAATAACTCTTAGAAAAGCAGTGTTCCAGCCAGTAAACAAGCTGCGAAATCCAGACTATACATTTTGTTTTGAAATAAAGGCATCATTAGGAAAGGTAGGAGGAGTTTAGTTCAGAATAGAATAGATATGTCCTATCCAATAATGAAAAAAATATCATCTTCCTGTCTCCATTAATAAATTTAGCTGTGCAATATAGATCAATGCAGAAGTTTCTATATCAGAGATTATAATTCCATTTTACAGGTTCTAAATGCTGAGAATCTGTATTAAGGCTTAAAAAGTTTTTCTTGTGATCAGTAAGTGATACACTTAAGCAGACTTTTTTTTCCTCATTCCTGACTTGGATTCCTTAATAAATTTCATTTCTGATCTTTACAGGTGAAATCTAAGCTTAAAGTTTTAAACCGCATTTCATTATGTTGGCTTGCTTAGCTCAGATTTTAAACACTCATTTCTGGAATCAGGATTTTAGGGAAAAAAAGTTTAACAAAAAAATAATTTTTTCTTCTTGAAGAAAAAAATGAAAACAATAGAAATACCTAAAAATGAAATCCCTTGACCTAGAAGGATAAGATAGTCTAATAAAATTTCCAAATTCTAGCACAACTTTGTAATAGAATCAGTCTTTGTGGATTTTTTTTTTTTTTTTGACTAGTAAAAGGAATGGCTGTCATGGTTACTGTGGGGAAAAAAAATGCTAAATTGCACAGAAAGGAAAATTAGCAAACAATTATTTTAGAGCTATTTTCAGATATACTTTTTTTTTTTTTTTTGCAATTATTGTGCTACATTCAATTCCAATGCTTGTTGCCAAGAACTAATAAACTTCCTCGTCCACTTCCTCTTTTTTTTTCCTAATGAGTTTAATCATTGTCATTCATTCCTATGGCTTTACAGTTAGGTTTTATTTTGTTTGTTTGCAGCTGACACTGCAGTTCCTTTAATGCAAAAGACCAGAAACTATTTGACTAAAATCATGCCCCCAAAGGAAAGTATCTAGTTTTTCCATGAAGTTATCCTGTGGCGTGTGATGAAATGTATTTTCTTTTTGCTCCAACAGCGTACTGTGAAAAGCTCAAGCAGACAAAGTGGACCTGTCATGTGGTTAAACTTGTTTTAAGCCAGTTCATTAGCTGTGTACTGATACTGATGCTGTGGTTTTCTTTTGTTTGTTTGTTTTTTAAATGGATTTTATTCCAGGTGAACTTTTTTTTTACAATAATGTTCGTCTAAAATAAAGACTATGTAATGAAAAATATTCATGACTCACTGAAATGGATTCCACATTTTAAATTGCTTTCTTCAGATTTGCTAGGTATGTGGCTAAATGATGATAGCAAAAACCCACTACTGTTGAATGTATTCCAACTTCACAGAAGCCGACTGTCTCGTCTTTCTCCTGTCGAGCAGCTAGCTAGTGGGTTCGAACTGCTGACCTATCAGTTACAAGCCCAATTTACCTACTGCACCTCCAGGGCTCCTCTAACCATGACAGAGTTGAGATCTTTTAGCAATTTGACTGCACCTGCCTATCCCAGTGAAACTACCACTGTACGTATGCACTGTTCCTCGTCGTCGTTCCTTGCTGATTTATCCCCACAGCAGTCTCCTTCCTGATTCTTCTCAAGCTTCCTACCTCCCTCCTCTCATTCATGGACGACGTACTTTCTTTTCAGATCTCCTGCCTCACAGGGAAAAGTATTAGTCTAAAACCACCTTAGATTCCCCTCTCCTCAACCTATTTATATAGCCCATTAAGGACTGGCTGCCTACTCTCTTGCACTTTGACACCATCTCTTCCCCTTCCCATTAGCCAACTTTGCTAACTCCTCAGCAGAGACCTGAAGATGTTACCTTCTTTAACAAAACTTCACAAGTTTGGATTGGGTGTCCTTTTCATATACTTGCATAGCACCTATACTTGCCTGCCATTAAGTGCTGTTGAGTCTGTGCCAAGTGATAGCGACCCTGTATGTGGTTTCCAAGGAACCACTGAGGAGTTTGAACCACCTACCTTGCAGATTGAACCGACTTTGCTGGCCACCCCATACCTGTCTAGCCTTCTTCATCATGAGAGTAGGAGCAGCTAACATAGCATTTACCTGTGCCAGGCACAATCCTCAAAACAGCCTTAAGTTGTTAAGTGTTTGGAGTTAGTTCTGACAAACAGCAACCCTGTATAGGGTTTCCTGACAGTTTTGAACTACCACCCTTGCAGTTAAAAGTCCAGTGTTGAATCTACAGTGCCACACCAGGACTCCTAACCCAGAGAGGAGGTAAGGATTTTTATTACTTCCCTTTCACGTTTATGAAATCTCTTAGATGTGAATGACGTGGGAACTGACCAGCTGGTTTTAATTTTTAAAGCTCTCAAATCTTGAATTAATACACAATAGCAAATGTGTCCTGGTGTGGTGCTACAGGCTAATGCATTGGGCTGCAAGGTCAGTTTGAACCGCAAGGTCAGCAGTTCAGGCACTTCAGCCACTTCTTGGAAACCCTGTATGGAGTCACTATTGAGTCAGAACTGACTCAACAGCACATAACAACAACAGCAGGTGTTTATAGATTCTACTTTTTAAATAATTTCATTCATTCAACTGATATTCAATAAACTTCTTGTTGTTAGGTGCCGTTGAGTCCGTTCTAACTCATAGCGACCGTATGCACAGCAGAACAAAAAACACTGCCTGGTACTGTGCCAATCCATCATGTTGAGGGTCTCCCTCTTTTTTGCTGACCCTCCACTATACCAAGCATGATACCCTTCTGCAGGAGTTGGTCCCTCCAGATAACATGTCCGAAGTCAGACGAACTCAATCTTAGCTTCTAAGGATCATTCTAGGTGTACTTCTTCCCACACAAATTTGTTTGTTCTTCTAGAAGTGCATGGTATTTTAAATACTTTCCAACACCATAACTCAAATGCATCAATTCTTCTACAACCTTCCTTATTTGTCCAACTTTCACATGCCTATGAGGCTATTGAAAATTGCCTAATCAGGTACACCTTGTCCTCAAAAGGACACCTTTGCTCTTGAACACTTTAAATGGTCTTGTGTGGCAGATTTACGTAATGCAATAAATTGTTTGGTTTCTTGACCGTTGCTTCCATGAATGTTGGTGGTGGATCCAACCAAAATAAAGTATTTGACAACATCAATCTTTTCTCCATTTAACATGTTACTTATTGGTCCAGTGGTGAGGATTTTAGTTTGCTTCACATTGAAGTGCAATCCATACTGAGGGCTGTGGTCTTTGATCTTCATCAGTATTTTAAGTTCTCTTTACATTCAGCAAACAAGGTTGTATCATCTGCTATGAGGCTTCTTCTAATCTGGTTGCCACATTCTTCATATAATCCAGTTTCTTGGATTATTTGCTCAGCATACATACTGAATAAGTATGGTGAAAGAATACAACCCTGGTGCACACCTTTACTGATTTTAAACCATTCATTGTCCCCTTGTTCTGGTCTAAAAAACGGCTTCTCCATTTTTGTACAGGTTTCTCATAAGCACAATTAGGTGTTCCAGAATACTTATTCTCCACAAAGTTATCCATAGCTAATCATGATCCACACAGTTGAAAGGCTTTGTATAGTATAAGTGGTAAGTTACAGGTAAACATCTTGGTATTCTCTACTTTGAGCCAAGATCCTTGTGATGTCAGCATTGCTATCCCTTGTTTCACATCCTCATCTGAATCCGGTAGTTTCCTGTCAGTGTATACTGTTGCAGTCGTTTTTTAAATATCTTGAGCAAAATTTTATTTGCATGTGATATTAATGATACCTGATGATTTCCACATTTCGTTGGGTCATCTCTCTTTGGAATGGGTGCAAATATTGATCTCTTCCAATCAGTCAGCCAGATAGCTTATAACACAGCAAAGAAGAAAACAAAACCTCTGCCCCTCCCGGAGTTTACAGTACAGATCAATGAAGGAAACAAATGTGATGAGCAGGGAGAGTTGATATTGTTAGAGGAGGGCCAAAGAATGCCTTAACAACTATTTGGACTACATGGGGGAAAAAATCAAACAAAACCTGCTTGTCCTTTTAGCATCTGTGAGTTTTCTCCTGGGTGATTATGATCCCAGCCCGGGATAATGGAGCATAAATCTCCCGCAACTGTTGAAATGGAAAAAATAAGCTTTAAGAAAGAATCCTTTATTTTAAAATGGAATCCTGTCTCCGCCCTGCGCTCAATCTTTCCTTAATTGGAATCTTTTCCCCTTCTCAGAGCATACGACTCCAGTGACCTGATCTGGGAAGAGGATGGGGCTCGTGCCGTAACATCACTAGGGATCCGCCTCGGGAGCAAGACTTGCGCCACAGACCCACCGGCCTAGTTCGCAGAGGGTTTGACGTTGCCGCAGGAGCTACTGGCCTCTGCCCCGCCCCTTCCCAGCCCTCAGCCTCGCCCCGCCCCGCTCCAGGCCCCGCCCCTGCCGGGCCCACTCGTTGTACCGCCCGGCTCGAGGCCCCGCCCCACGCACCACCTCTCTCCTGACCGGCACCGGGTCCGCTTCTGCGGTCGCCATGACGGCGGCCGTGTTCTTCGGCTGTGCTTTCATCGCCTTCGGGCCTGCTCTTGCGCTCTACATCTTCACCATCGCCTCCGAGCCTCTGCGCATCATCTTCCTCATTGCCGGGTGAGGCGCAGGCGCGGGGAAACCCGGACGTCGAGACTCCCTCCCCAGCTGGGGAATACCAGCGACCCCGGTGTCTGCACCCTGCGACTCGGCCTGATCTCGCTTTGGGGCGAGGGGTTAAGCGGAGGCGCCGCTTCCGGGGCACTCCGGCCTCCCGGGAGGGGCTGCGGAGCTGAGCGAGGAGCTCACATTGCGATGTCCTTTTGCCTAGGGCCTATGGGTGGGCTTGAGTGGGTCGTAAAGCCCCTAAAATTGTCTGGGGGAAATTGTGGGTAAATTCACATATGCATTTTTCATTTTTCTATGGAACGGAAGCCCGCAATTTCCCTCAGATTCTCAAAGACATCTGTAATTACAAAAGGCTTTAACGGCTCACTAGAGTCTCACCTCCGCCCATCAGATTCACTTGGGACCTGGTGCTTTAAAACACACAGAAGCCCAACTCCTACCCCAAATCAACTGCATCTGAATGCCTAGGCGCCGCTATTCGGGCTTCCCTAGTCTGTTAGATTCCCAGGTGATTCAGGAGTGCAGCCAAGTGGTAGAAAGCTGTGAAAATACTGTCGCGGAGGACCGTGCGTCTCTGTCCCGGAGCTTAGTAAATACCGAACCCTGGTGGCGACTATGGGCATAAACTCTTTCAGTCATACTCTTCCTTCCCCTACTTTGAGTTCCACCTTTGCTGCATTGAAAGTAACTTAATTTTATAAAGTAATAGCAATGTGGACAAAAGGTCTGTAAAGCTTGTAATCATTAGAATCACCGTGGGTTCTAAAAACGAGGCCTGAGAAATGGATCAAAGCACAAGTTTTCATCCTCTGGATTTTATACCAGTCATTCTACTAATAGATATCTAGACAGTTTTTCTGGAAGAGACACTGTTGTATTTGCAGATTTCTGACCATTAAATATTCCAGTAGGTTCTAAGGATACAAAAATCACAGTAGTCATTGGTTGCTTATTGTTTTAGCACATCCCTGGGCAGAGTGTTGACTGGGAAAAGTAGCAAGTAATTTTCTCACCTGACAGTCTTTCGCAGATGTCATTGTGAATAGTGTGGCCAGTGAAGAATAATTGAACTCCCACTTTCCTCTGGGACCACATGGAGAGAGGAGTCAAGATGGAGAGTAGGAACCACCGATCTAGAGCATCAGCCCCCCTCATACATACACTTATTAAAGATTTAGGAAATCTGTTCCTTTCAGGCAAGGTATTTTTTCTTTTTCTTTTTCTTTTTAAACCATTATTCATACTGATGTTTCCTTGTAACTTTCCCTCCCTAATTATCAGCGCTTTCTTCTGGTTGGTGTCTCTGCTGCTTTCCTCCCTTGTTTGGTTTATGGCAGAAACCATTACTGGCCACAAAGATGGACCAGTACAGAAATATCTGCTCATCTTCGGGGTGCTGGTCTCAGTCTTTATCCAAGAAGTCTTCCGGTTTGCATATTACAGGCTATTAAAGTAAGTTGAATGTCTGTTTTCTTTTCCCCCATATCGATTTGAATTATGGTTTACTTTGAATCATTAATGTGATATTAAAGGTCCCATGCTTTCTTACATGGTTTTAAGGCGAGGTGTTGGTACATTTTTAGACCAAAAATAGAATATTCTTTTAACCTGTGAGCATTCTTTCCTCCATTCATTAAAAAATATATGACTTGAGTATTTTATAGCAGGCACTAGCCTAGGTACTGGGGATCTACATCAGGAAATCAGAGACAGTCGCTGCTCTTGTGGCGTATGTATTCTAGTGGGAAGAAATGGACCATAGATGAATGAAGCACAACAACTAAATATTCTTTTAGAAAGCTGTGGGGGAGAAAATAAAACAAAAACAAAGAGTTCCATAACAACTCGAAGTAGCTATGATTTTATCTGCTTCTCTTTGCCACCAATTAAATAAAAATAGACACTGTGGAGATTATGCCTATTGTTATTTTGAATAAAATCAGGGCAATACTAACTAGGGGTTCATTTTGTGATATTTCTTATGGCTTCAAATCTGTAATAGAAAAATCTATTTTAAGAGGCTTGGGTACAAGCTCTTTTTTTGGCCAGAAAGTAGATCATCTGTAGAACAAACAAGAGGACCTCACATGAGGAAATCACTAATTTGAAACACAGCTTGAACTTGGGTGATCTATTCTCTCTGACAGTCATGAGGTTGGCTTCAATTATGTAGTAAGGCTTAGTTAGCAGCATGACTAATATGCCATCTCTTTTTCTTTTCTGCAGATGAAGTAATTAAGGCTAACAGGCTTCTGATCATTTGTTCATGCTAAAATGCTAGAACTTCCGCATTTTTTACTTGTTGCTTTCTACTGATAGATAGCGGATTCCTTTTTAATAAGGAGGCAATTTAACTTTAAAATAGAAAGCTGGGAACACTCTGCTTAGAAGCTAAATTCCTATCTTAGAAAAGGCTTAAAAATGAAATTCTCACTATCTCCTGGAACTGTTTATCAAAGAGCAACACATATCAAAGATAATATTTAAATTTCTTTGAGAATACAATAGAAAGCTGTGGCTGAATGTTTCTGGTATGTGACAGTTACCGCCTTGCTACAATTTTAATTTAAAGTGTAATGATATTAGGATTATTCACTCTGCCTCCTTTTGACCTCTGTCCCCACTCATAAAACACACAGGTATCTGAAATTTCTGCCACATGGTTGTTTTCAAGTCCCTTTCAAGGCTAAATATTCCTTCTTTCTTTATCAGGATGCCAGAAGACATTAATGTGGGTACCAAACCTTCCAGTCTTTGGTCCCCCAGACGTACCCCTTTTGATCACTGCCTAATATTTACCTGTGCTCGTGACCTAACACAATATCTGCAGTGTGCTCCAACTAGTTTGGAGAGCCCAGGCCCTCCTCACCCTGGACTGGATTTGTTGTTGTTGTTGTGAAGTGCCGTCGAGTCGGTTCCGACCCATAGCGACCCTGTACAGGGTTTCCAAGGGTGTAAATCTTTACGGGAGTAGAAAGCCTCATCTTTCTCCCGCGGAGCGGCTGGTAGTTTCGAACCGCTGACCTTATACTATACTCTTAATCGTTTTGGGTTTTTCTTATTGAATTTCATATCTGATGGCCTAGAATTTTCATATCTGATAGTTCTAATTTTGAAGAAATCGCTTAAATTGTAATACAAAGGGGCTTCAGAAAGTGCATGAGAAAATAGAATTTTAAAATGATGGAATTTTTCTGTTAACTTCGTCAGCCTCCTCCTATAGAATGCCGCAGTTTTGAGCAATTTGAATGTGAGTAAATGAGTAATCTCTCTTGTAAGGATCAGCACAAAGCTGGTTCCTATGAGGTCCCAAATGTCCAACTTTTCCAAACTGCTGTACCATCAACTGTTCCTCCTCCCCTCAGTTGTCTCCCTCTCATCTTTCCAGGATTTGCTGGAACTTCTCACCGAACTCATGAGCTACCAAGACTGTGGCTCACCTGGCTATAGAGGCAGACAAGTCCCAAATCCGTGGATCAGGGGTCACACTGGAGGCTTCTGTCAGATGATAGGCTGCTGACTCAAAAACTGATTGTCAGACGATGATGCGCTAGATGCAGAGTCCTGAGCAAGAGAGAGAATCTTGACAGAGCATTCATATGAAGGGACTTCAGAAAAGTTTGTGTTAAAATGGAATTCAAAGATAAAAATTTTAAATATAAACTTTACTTCTCAATATAAGCTCCATCGAGGTCAGGATACTTTTATTAGTGATGACACCAGCCATTTAGTCCCTGCCTAAACAACTGAGGGTCCTGGGAATTTAACCATGTCAGTACAGTCTTTTAATATTATTAAGTGGAGAAAACTGGGTATCCTTTAAAGATTTTCTAAGATTAAGAAACAAAAAGAAGTCAGAGGGATTCCCCATTGAAACACTCACTATCTCGCACTCCTTTTATGAAACGAATAAGCAGAGAATTGTTGTAGAGAAGAAGGGCTCTCTAGTGAAACTTTCCCAGGCATTTTTCTATTAAAACTGTGGCTAACGTTCTCAAAAACACTCTGTTATAAGCAGATGTTATGATTTTTGGCCCTCCAGAAATTCAACAAGTAAAATGTCTTGAGCATCAAAAGCAAAAAAACAAAAACAAAAAACCCCCTGCTGCCATGACCTTTCCTCTTGTCCACTCTGTTTGCTTTGACTGGACCACTTCCACCTCTTGGTAGCTGTTTGATATGTGTTTCTCTCTAGGAGCATATTGGTGATGGATGCCATGTTTCATCTCCCGTTACTGTAAATTGAAGAAATGCTTCAGTACCTTGACCCCATTTGTTTAAAATGCCCAGTGAAAAGCTCAGTTCTTGTCGGCAGCCAATCTGGGCACAACAGTTTTGTGGAAAGTGTGCTCAACTTTAATTTTCCAGTCAGAATTGTGTAAGCGGAGCCACTTGAGCTATCGATGGTGTGTTGGCTATTGTTTTTGCTGTTGAATCATCAGTTCACTTCAGTTAGAGCATGAACAAAATTGTTTCCTTGCAAACGGATGTGGATGGTCTGTTGCTGCAGGCTTCATTTTCAACATTGTTGTGTCCCTTCTTAAAATACGATATCCATTTGTAAATTGCTGATTTGGGCATTCTCTCCATCAACTTTTCATAAAACATCAGTGGTTTCGCCATTCTTCCATGCAGCATCACCATAAATTTAATGTTTTGTTCTTTCTTCAGTTTTAGAATTCATGTTGCTTTGCTAGGGGCGCTTTTCAAACTGATGTCTTATCCTTCTTAGTGCCTCAAATTAGATCAGTGTTCAGATATAACAAGTTACTATGAGTTTGTTTTGGTGCAAAGGAAAAAACCCACGGTAATCCTTGTATAGTTTTCACAGCACACATTTTTCATCATTTCTTTGAAGACCCCTTGTATATGTACTGGATGCAAACCATACCTTCAAGGAAACTCCTTTTACTTGAGCAAAGCTATGACTTGAATAAGCATAGTAACTTGAGTTACACTCTTTATTAAGATGGTGACTGAAGATACATCGTACCTTAATCCTGCCTCATTAACATAATGGACAGCCCTCTCCCAAATGAGATCATAATAGTGGGCATGTTGTTGTTGAGTGTCATTGTGTTGCTTCCGACACTTAGTGACCCTGTATAGGGTTTCCAAGGAGCGCTGGTGAGTTTGGACTGCCCACCTTGTGGTTCACAGTCCACTGCTGATCTGACAATGCCACACCAGGAGTCCCAACAATAGGCATAGAGACAAGGGTTTACAACACATCACAAAGTGGAGGGTCATTATATTAGATCACATGTTATAGGACAACCACATGATACTTGGTGTCATGGCCTAGCCCAGTTGACACATGGCCCCAACCATTACAAGTTTTGTATGCTCTATTTGCATGGTCCTACTGAATCGCTGTGTAGGAGTCTCAAAGACCAGGTTGTTATTAAGTGCTGTTGAGTCAGTTCCGACCCATAGTGACCCTGTGTAGGGTTTCTAAGGAGCAGCTGGTGAGCTTCAACAGCCAACCTTGCAGTTCAAACAACTTTGCAGTTCAGTGCATTGACCCACAGAGCCACACCAGGACTCCACTTTCAAAGACTGGGTATAAGGGCCATATTAAGTAATTCACTGCATTACAGTTAGACCTGTGTTTATAGGTGCCTTTGTTTGCATTTGCAAAAGGCTTCTTTAATGAGTCTTTGGACTATGGTGCAAATTTTCCCTAGCAAATTTTAGAAATGATGGATATATTGTAGTTTTGTGTTCAAACAAGTTTGACAATTATTATGATGCCATTTTTTATTGACATACAACAAAGCCCAGTGTTGTTGGGTCTGTTCTGACTCCTGGCAATCACGTGGAACTGAGTAGAGACTGTCCCATAGGGTTTCTCAGACTGTAAATCTTTATGGAAGCAGACTGCAACATCTGTCTCCTGTAGAGTGGCTGGTGCATTTGAATTGATGACCTTTGGGTTGACAGCCAAGTGTTTAATCAGATTTGATAATGAAGGTAGCTTAAAAACATACTGATTAAACCAAAGCCACTATATTTGAACGTAGTGTAAAATTACATTAAACACTTGGCTATCAACCCAAAGGTCATCAGTTCAAATGCACCAGCCACTCCACTGGAGACAGATGTTGCAGTCTGCTTCCATAAAGATTTACAGTCTGAGAAACCCTATGGGACAGTGTAAAATTACACTACATTCAAATATAGGGACTTTGGTTTAATCAGTATTTTTTTAAGCTACCTTCATTATAAAATCTGGTTTTGTACTTTTAAGTTCAAGGTACTGTCTCAATCAACTTTAAAATGTGGAGAGTTTGTATTACCTTTTATACCTATATGGAATTGAATCAAATCTGTTTTGTGTGGTATAAATTTTTATGGGTGAGAAGAAAGCTGAATTTTTTGTTCATGGAAACATCATCATAAATGCAAACAAAGAATTTTCCATTTCAGTAAAATGGTCAGATTTAAAGCGC